CAGTCACTGCTATCACTTAACGCTCTGAAACAAGGTTTGCCAGCCATGAAGTTCAAGAGCCTGATTACAGATAATGGACTTAGGCTTCCTGTTGGGAATTTGCTCATTCTGCAGCCTCAACAAAATTTGAACTTTTGACATTTCCATCATGCTGTAGCTTGACTAGAGGTAAAGTAGAAGCAGCTGTGGTGAGGCTGCTAATGGACTAACTGAAATGCATGAAATCTTTCACTCTGCTGGACCACCAGGAAGTGTGGCTGCCCTGGAGAAATGTAATATTACTAGAAGTAAGCTCAAATTTAAAGTGAAAAAATTCTGTCATAGGAGTTTCCACCCCCAACTTCAAATTGAATAAAGTTTAGGCATTATAGTTAGCAGTGTGCCCTGGCAGCCAGGAGAGGCAGCCCTGTCCTGGGGGCATCAGGCACAGCATCACCAGCTGGGCAAGGGAGGGGATTGTCCTGCTCTGCTCTGCACTGGGGCAGCCTCACCTCCAGTGCTGGGGGCAGTTCTGGGCACCACAATGTAAGAAAGACATTAAACTATCAGAGAGTGTCCAAGGAGGGCAACAAAGATGGGGAAGGGCCTTGAGGGGAAGCTGTGTGAGGAGCAGCTGAGGGCACTGGGCCTGTTCAGCCTGAAGGAGACTGAGGGGAGACCTCACTGCAGTTACAGCTTCCTTGTGAGGGGACAAGAAAGGGCAGGCACTGATCTCTGCTCTGTGTGACAGTGACAGGACCCAAGGGAATGGCCTGAAGCTGTGTCAGGGGAGGTTTAGGCTGGATATCAGGAAAAGATTCTTCACCTAGAGGGTGTTTCAGCACTGGAACAGGCTCCCCAGGGAAGTGGTCCCAGCCCCAAGCCTGTCCAAGAAGTGTTTGGACAATGCTCTCAGACACAGGGTGTGAATCTTGGTGGTGGTGCTGTGCAGGGCCAAGAGCTGGACTTTGATGATCCCTGTGGGCCAATTCAGGGTATTCTATGATTCTATGTTAAAAATTCACTTGCTCTTGTTGGGCTTTCTCACATAGGAGTCCCAAAGTCTCTTACAGAGTCAGTGGAGTGAAAGAAGTTCCTCTGAGAGCTCAGTGGACTTCAGACATGCAGGTGAGGCCAGCAGGATCTTACTCTTCAACAAACAAGAGTTTGTTGTTTATTATTCCTAAATATTTTTACAGTGCCCCAAGTGGAAGCTGCCCTCACAGGCTGAGATCTCACTCAGTCTGTGACATGTGTATCAGAGGATTATGGTAAATTCTCCAATACACATCGGAGAGTGGCCAGAAGTTTCATTTGGTCAGGTAACATACCACCATCTGGGACCCCATTGCCAGAGGAAGGACAATGGACTCTTCATTTATTTCAGTGTCCCCACATGGCTTTACAGGGAGTGGAAGCCATATGTCTACCCAGTTAGACTTGTCCTCTTTTATTTTCAGGATCTTCAATGAGCTCAGGCACAGACATCAAGTTCTTCCTGGTTTGTGAGCACCCCTGATCTCCAGATTGGATTGCTTGGATTGCTGCTCTTCTGAGCAGTACAACACAGCAACACTGTTCTGCAGTGCTAGGAGCCAAGCTTCAGAGTGATATACCTGTGACATTTAAGATTTGCAGGGGTATATACATATTTAAGTACCTTATGTGCCTGTAAAGATGCGTTGCTGTGGCCTTCATGTTATGTATACAAGCTCATATACAATCAGAGAAAATGAGGGAGGTCAGGTAACATGGAACAAAATACAAAGCATGTTATAATACTACACTGTTATTTTGATTTTTACAGAAATAAATACGGGTACAAAACTGTCAAATAATTTGTTAGATGTAATTACTAACCTGGTAGCACACAGTGATGCTTAACAAACTAATTTGTCAGAGTAGTGACATTGTAGGCACACTAACATAAACACAGAACTTTGGCCCTGAATAAAACTTCTCTGGTTATTGGGTTATTAAAGGAAAAAATAAAGGCTGTCTAAATGTTATCTTTGGGGCAATCCTCAAATTTGTTATTTCTAAGCCTTTAGGCCACTGCCCTATGTGATTAGTGTTTAATCACCAAAAAATAATCATGGAAAAGATCTGCTAGAGATCTATAGCAAGTTTAATTAATAGTAAACAGACTAAGTCTTCTAAAATATTATTGTTCCACTGTAACAATAAACGGAAAGAATAATTGAACGGATGACTAAGTAAATAATCAAAAGTAATAGGCCCAAACTGGCCATGGAATCTCTCTTAGGGAGGCCTTAGCACTGATTTCATTGAGTTCCCCCTGAAGCCATCTTTCCTCCAGGATGAACATGTGCAGGTCCCTCAGCCTCTCCTCACAGGGCAACTGCTCCAGCACTGATCATCCTCATGGCTGCACTGAACTCACTCCAGTTTTTTAAGGTCTTTCAGGTATGGTGTAGGAGGAGCAAAATGGAGTGCAGTATCTTGGATATGGTCTAGTGAGTGATGAGTGAAGGGAGACAATCATCTATTGATTGTGCTCTGGGTAACACAGCCTCCTGACCTTTGCTGCTGCCTCACACTTTGCCATGACTGCAAAGCCAAGGGGTCAGGCAAATAACTACTTTATGTAGCAAGAGGTGCAAGATGACTTGGTTTTTCCTCAAAAGATCAAATCTGGAAAGATGCTGAACATCAGAAACTCCCTTCTGGGGATGCTAAAGTCCAGAAATGGACTGAAGTCGATGAATAGAAGAAACATGCAGAACAGTCAATGGCAAGAAATTCAAGTTATTGGTTTAGTTTCCAGGAGCTGAAGAACAAAGTTGCCTTTCCATCCAGTGCACCAGCAGAGGAAAACATCCACAAACAATAGACTGTTGTCTACTAATTAATTCTGCTAGCAAGTGATAGAGTTCCAAGTAATAGAGTTCCAAGAATGATGCTTTTAAGGCCAGGGATTGCTTACATAAAAATAGAGTAAACAAGAAGACCAGGTGAATTTCAGAGAAAGGAGGAAATACCATACTCAAGTGAAGCAAACCCACACCCCCAGGGTGATCTGTGCCAGAGGACCTGCTTGAACTATTTCACCAACAGTAGGAGGGTAGGTATGAGTAGTTTTAAGGAAGGCATGGAAATCTATACAGTCCCCCTGTGAATCATAGAATTATTTAGGTTGGGAAGGACCTTTAAGATCATGGAGTCAAACTGTAAACCCAGCACTGGCAAGTCCACCCCTGAATTGTGTCCCTAAGCACCACATCTATGTCTTTTAAATATGCAGAATTTTGTACAAGGAAGAACTCCTGCATTCAGTTTTGCTGAGAATTAACACCTCAGAGTGAAGCTAATCACTGGAGTAAAACTTGCCCGTTGAGTGGAGACAGGAAAGGGAGGAGACACAAAAGCAGAATCAAACTAACTGCTGGTGTTTCTATACAATGGCATTTGGAAGAGTAGCAAGACAAACACACTGAGAAGTCAAATGGCTCTAGTAACTTCAAAATCTTCAAAGGTGTTTTTAGTAAGCTCTAAATTGATGTAGTAAGTTAATTTTACTAAGTTAACAGTGGTGCTTTCTTCTGATTGTGCCCTGACAAAACCTGACTACTGCAAAATTTCTAGTGCACCATAAAATCTTGGAATAATGGTAAGTCTGGTTAAGGAAGGTAGCCATGTTTTGTGATTTCCACTTTCTGCTAGGCATGGAAATCTTGGGGCAAGTGTGAGACCTGGCAAGGTATCTACCCACCTCCTCTGCTGCCAAAAAACCCAAATCCCAATCCTGATACTTGCCCCTCTCCCACAGTTTCATAAAACAGAATAGATAGGGTGTTTCTTTCTGAGGGAGTGACAATCTGGGGTGTCTTCATAGCTGCTCATGCAACTTTCTCCATTGCAGGAGTGGCTTAGTGGGACAAAGTGTGGATTTACCAGGGAACGAGGTGGAAGAAAAAAAACTAGCTTGACACGTTAGGCCTAACCAGTGTACTGGTCTGCCATGCCAAGGAACACTTTAACTCCTGTTTAGACCAGGATGTCATTCATCTACCAGGATGGCATTCATCTACTGCTTACACATGAAACACACACGTTTCATGGCTGTAGGCATATGACTCCATGTACTAGCTGCTGTAGAGATGTATGGAAGGACACATTTCCTGCCCCAGTTGATCCATAAGTTGCATTGAGATATAGGCAGATGAAATCAAAGGCTGGAGAGAGGAAGAAAGTTGAGAAGGAAGTTGACATATTGATATCCTGAAGTTTCACAGATAATCTATAAAAAGCATTTTCTCTAAACTTTTCGAAAAATAAGAAATCATCAGATGAGTTTGATCTTTGATTACTGCCTTTATTGGGAAACTGTTTTTCAACAGATCCCTTTTCAAAATAGGGTTTTGACTGGTTGTGAGTCTATTCACCATTGTCACAGAAAAATTCTAGAGCAAAGAAGGAAAGGAATAGTGTCTTGAAATAGATGTAGAAGAAATAATGAAGAAGATACTGTATCCTATGCTAGTGTCACTGCAGCGCTGATATGTGGATTGTCATGCAGAGAAAAGCAAGACAGAAGAAAACATCTTCATGTTGTCATAAGATGTCTCTAGGGAGGTTTTCAAACTTCTTGCAGTGTCTGATCACAGAGGTTAAATAAGAAAAACGTGTTATGCACACATATGTGTGTGGTATCTATGCATGTATGTACAAAATGTAGTGTGTCCATTCAAAGCATACATCTCCTCTGATTTTCAATGAGATCAGCTCTCAACTCCTCATTTACCCAATAATAGGCCAGCTGTATGAGATTCATAGGAAAATGTTTTCTAGAGAACATAAGAAACATGGACTGGCTGGTTTTTAGGGATGTCATGATTTATATCTAAAGAGACCCTGGGCAGATGAGAGTTGACACACAGCTATTCTGGACTTACAGCTGGTTGCTGTAAACAGAGTCTGATTCCAAGAGTTTTCATTCAGAAACAGAACAGGAGAGGGGAGATGTTGATCTCAAAATGAGCTGGAGCAGGGACACTCACCTATCACACAGAACGGTTTCCTTGCAAAGCGCAGTCTTCCTTGCCATCCTCGGTACCGACAGCAGCACCCCGCAGACCAGATACGAATAATAAATTCCAAACCAAAGACAACAATCATGACAAATTCCTAGAAATGGCAAATAAGAAAAATGCCTGTTACAGATAACCAACACTTAAGCTTCAGGAAACATTACTACTGCTTGTGTCTGACAATCCACCTTGAGCATCTGAACATCCCAAGCCAAATTTGGGATCCTGCTCCCCAGGGTGGTTACACATCTACAAGCAGCACATAGTACCCAGAGCTTCACAGTGAAAGGTCTAAGCCTAACCTGAATAACCTTAGTTGATCAACTATCAACTAAGGTTGATCAACTATTAACTAAGATTGGCTACTAAATATTTTCAAACACTGAATAATAGACAAAAATATCAGAGCAAAATACTCAAAGACTTTGGATGTTGAGCATCAGAGCAGAGGTAATTTACACAGCTATTCCATATGCACATCCATAAAATCAGTTCTTAGTTTAAAGGCTAAAAGTTTTGGGAGACCTATTCTCATTGCTACAATATACAGGTGAAGTAACTGAGATTATGAGGTTGGGAAATCAATCTGTTCCTAGCAGTAGGTTAAGGTACATGCAGGTGTAATTACATACAATGGGCATGCAATTGTTTGTAAGGCAATAAACTAATGCCCACCCTAGGCATAACCTTCCCTGGAAATAACCTGTGAATGAAAGCACTTAGAAATTTTGCCTTGCTTTTCTTTCTCATTGGAGTGTTCTTTAAGACTGTCTATTTTAAAAGCATCAACATGTATTTATGCAATTTTTATTCTAAAAAAATTTTCATCACAACAGTGAGGTAATAGTGCAGTATTAGAGCTTGGAGCACAATTCAGCTTCATATCCTAAGGAGATCTGCAGGTCAATAATATGCAGTGATAGTACATACACACTGTATGGAATTACAAACTTAGATACTTTTCTGGAATACCATCACAAGGTCATGTGTTTTGAAATGACAAAATAAGAATCTGTCTGTTCACAAAAGGAGACAAGTACTTGATGGAGTTTCTTAAACAGCCCAACAAGAAGAAAAGGATGGAAGTTGTGTTTTATTTGGCAGCCCAATGTATTTCTGTGTCCAGAAGTAAGTTTTTCCTTGTCAGCCAATTAATTTGTTATTCCTGCAGGATGAGGATTAGTGTGGTACCAGTAAGGAAGCACTGCAAATGAATTAAATAGAGGAATATTTGTAAGGGTAGGGTTGATCCAATATTGACTTTTCCCCAATAAACATTTGCATGTTTCTAGACTGTGAGACCCTACAACTCTACAAGCCAATGTGTCAGCTCAGGTTTTAATTCACCTGAACAAATGGCATTATTATGTTGTGCCATGTAATGGTTCTTTACTAGATTATGATTAGTGGCAGTCCACTGAAACATTGTGGACTTAATTGCTTTTGCTGTCATGGAACAATTTGAAAACATAGCATTCCTTCCCAAAACATGTCAGCTTGTGTAGCTACTTTACACTGAAAGGCACTTTTAGAGCCTTCCTCAGTGTCTTCATTTTTGTTTTTTTAAACCCCATATTGAATGCCTAAGTCACAAAAGTATAATAAAATAATAAAATAAAATAAAATCCCTCTGCTAAAACACAGCTGAAGAAAATGCCACATTTTTTATTAGAAAATAACATGGAAAAATGTGTGTGATTGTTTAAGATTTTCTTTTTATTCCACTACAAGAAACTTCAACTTAATTTCATGGACAGCGTTATTGCACAACTTCAGAAAGGATTATGTACAAAACTGAAAAAGTTCCCCATATAGTAACAATAATTCCTAATAGTTGGCTACCCTGTGGTACATTTCCTTGTAGGAAATTCTGTGTAGGCCAAGAAAAAAATGGACAGGAAGCCAACTGGAAAAAAGGAAGAATACGCATTTTAGTTATTTAACTACCACTTTTATAGTGGTAGTTAAATCATGAATTGTCAAATCTGGTTTACACATTGTTAGATGGTGCCTCTGAATTTATGAGGGTTGATGGCAGGCATCCAGGCCATTCCTGCATCTGATTCCCCTAAAGTTTCTTCTTTGGGATAGGGTAAGAGATACTGAAGGAAAGGAGGTCTGAAAAGCATGAAAATTTCTTTGCTTCCAATAAAATCCTTTTCTTGTTAAAACTCAATCACATTTCATTTGAATAAAGTTTGTTGTTTCCCTGGGAAACATACGGTGTGTGCAGATGGGCGATACGCTCTGTGAGTACAGAGAAATTGTCCCAGGCACCTTCCAGAAGCTGATCCACACACACAGGAGTGTGTCCTCCCCTGTACTCCAGCCCTGGCAGGGCCTCTGATGGGGAACTGGCAAGGACAAAAAGTACTCAGTGATTCTGGAAGGACTAGTCCACAGCTTCAAGTCAGTTCAAACAGTATCGCAGAACTGCTGGTAGGAATTGGAAAGAGGCAATTTTTTTTGAAAGTCTCCTTTTCTGGTTCCTTCCAGTGCTATGCAGTTTTGTATTTATCACCTGTACTATTGTTAGCCATTACTAGGTGCTATGCTTGCTCAGTGAGACAAAGATGAGAAAATTTATTGTGTGCTGAAAGCACGTTTCTGAGAGTCTGTGTACTGCATGGTGCCTTTGTGTGTTAGAGACAGAAATCAGATTTTTCTCTCACAGAAACACTATACTAAAAAGAGAAACTTCATGGAGACACATCTATTTTGGTAGAGAAAAAGAGAAAAATATATGTTCTCAAAAATTTTTTTAGTGGGTGGAGTAAGAGTAAAAGATTTTTCTTGAGGAAACAAAGTGAAATTTCTCTGTTTATTCCTTGAGAAAAAGTTACCATTTCTAGAACCATTAGAAATTTATGCATGGTTATATTGTCTCAAAATTAACTAAGGTTTCTACTACTTAAAAAAATTTTTTTCTGCTACTTAAGCAATATAACAACTGTAGTTATATTAAGCTCAAATACAGTAAATACATCTCTGTGCATTGGGATACTAAAAGAACTGCTGCTTTTAAAAATGCTACCTATGATTTTCTTCCACCCATAACAAGACTCTGTAGATTTTAAGTACACTATAAGCTTTAAAAAAAGGAAAGACATTGAATAAAATGTATAGGGGGTTTCACACTTATTTTTGCACTTACAGAAATAGTGATGTTTCAAACTGATCTTTATATCCTAATGACTCCTACTTCCTCAAAGAAAAAGATGATTTTGAAGGGAATAAATATAAAACATAATGAAGTTAAAGGAAAAGGATTTTCCCAGAAAACATAATGTATTGAAACAGAGCTCTTCATAGTAGTAGTACACATAAGAGCTTTGTTTTATTTTGGTCTGGTTCAGTTCCAAACCAGAGAGAGATAAAGAATTGCATACCACTGTGTAAAAAAGTAATGTTTTAGTAGTCGGGGCACTCAGTCAAAATGTTAAGGCAAATCTCTGTCAGGGTTAATACAGGCTGGGGAATTACATTTTTTTCTTATGGCAGCTGTAAAGTTACAAGGTTTTTGGTCTTCCATGGACAAAAATTGGAAGGATGCATCCCAAATAAGATCAGGATTTTTATTTTTTCATATTTCATTTGGAAGGCTTATTGCCAACCTAAGGATAAATCTAGGCTTTGAAATAACTTGGGTTTTGTTCCTTAGCAATTGAAACAGACGATCAGAACATAATTGGAAAGGCATGTGATGGAATAAATCATTAGACTTCGTGCCTTGTAGACTGAAGAAATGATGCATTCCAAGTATCTCTGTCCTATATATAATATAATGGAACATCATTAATTTTGAATTACTTATGAGAATGAGAAACAACATTCACATCAGAATGGGAAAATCTTGCACTGTTTATAAATCTGGCCCTCTTCAAAACTAAGCAAGGCTGCATTTGAACTGATGAGCAAGTTAAGATTTACTGGGGATATAACCCTTCCCTTCCTAGGTGGAGCAGAGGTGCATTGGCCTTTGCCATTTCTTGCTTTTTCCCTGTCTTGTTATCCTTTTCCTATCACAGTTGCATTTGGCCTTCCACCAGAGTCACCACAATCTGTCACATTTTTGGCTGCCCAAGCTCACAGTTAGCACCTCCCAGTAACCACTGTGGCAGATGCATTGGTGGTTCAGGCAGCGGAAAGTTTCTCTTCCTTCTCAAAGCACAGTTCATCCAAACTGATGAGCTTTTCCTTCTGAAATGTTTCTGCACATGCAGCTCCAGTTGTCCTGGGGAACCATGCACATGTAAGAGGAGCAAGGCTGACACGCTTGAACTGACAAGGTTCAGTTGCTTTTGGCTAACAGGGTACTCCTGAAGATTTTTACATCTGTGTGTGCCTGGGTTGTTACACCACTGGAACAATGAGGCTCACACAAATGGCAGAAAAAGAAAATAAGAGGTCATCCAGAGCAAGGCTTCTGTTAATAAAAGGTCCTGGAGGACTCTAATCAACAGGGTTGATGATTAAGAAAATCAAGCATACTTCGCAAAATCCAGCACTTCCCCCCTCCCCACCTCCTTTTTCCCCCTCCTGTCCAATTAGGATACATGATTTGTTGAAGTTGTTTACATTAATATGCTTCTCAGGCAGTTTTTAATGTTAATGTTTTCCCTAAGCATAATATTTTAACAGCAAACAAAAAGTTTATATAATAGCTTTCTCACTCCTTAGCACAACTGCTTATTAAAACTGAAAATAATTTGCTGATGATGAATCAGGTGCCTTCATTGCAGACTGTAACACGGGGAATTGGAGCCATTTTTGCAATAGGAAAATGACCAAAGTTAAGCACCCTCTGCTGATCTAGGATGCTTCAGGTAATTTTGCAATGTGTAAATGAGCTGAGGCTTGGACATAAGAAATCCACCCACAAGACAATGTCTCTGCTCTTATTTTAATTATATTTCTTGTATGGAAATGGTGATTTTAATTATTTTAAAGGCTAATGAAGTGGCACAACAGAGCTGCAGACTGATGTGAGGAGCTGCCTGCCTTGCGCTCATAGGAGAGCTGTGTTTACAAGTGACATTGTCAGAAGTTGGAGAGATAGACAGGAACAGACCAAATGAACCCTCTGAAATAAGCTTC